GTCCAATGTTTGCCTCGTTTACATTATCAGCAAACTTCAGTAGGTGTCCTTTTTGCACTGGGAGATATACTATTGTTAAAATTGTTACCTTTTTTCTTACAATCCTTTTTAAAATGACCTTCTTTACCACAGTTGAAATAGGTTCCTGACTTATTGGGTTTAAGGGCTCCAGCCATGGCTGCAGCAAAAACAGAAGCTTGATGTTCAGTTCCTCCCACTCCAGCATAAGCTCTTACATATTCACTTAATGAGGCGTTTTGCACTTTTAATGGCCCCAAAATACACTTACATTCAGGATTTGCATTTTCAAATGCTAATGTTTCCAATAATACCTTTGCTATTTGGTCTCGATTTATTGCCCTTATTACAGTAAGTACGCAGTCTAGCAAGAAAATCAGTATAAGGTTCAGTAGCCCCTTGTACAGTTTTAGTAAAGGAAGGTTGTGCTTGATCAGTGGATATCACACATCTCCAAGCCCTTAAGAAAACCTGTCGAACTTGTTGAAGATCTGGATCTGTATATTGAGCCTGCTCTCTAAAGGCACGGTAATTACCCTCCCCCATTAACTTATCCTCCATAGGTCCCGGGGGATTTTGAGCCTCATTCTCTCGAGCTTGTTTTCGTGCCTCATCTTCCCACCAACTTCTCAATTGTAACCATTGAGATCCCTCCAAAACTGTTTTGGCTAATGCCTCCCAATCCAAAGAAATAAGGAGTTTAGAAGTTCCCAAATTTTCTAACATACCTAACACAAATGGAGACTGAGGGCCATATTGAGAGACTGCAGCTTTTAAATCCTTAATAAACTTGTATTCCACTGCAGTATAGTGAACATCATTCATTTGGGGATTTTGAAGGTTTTGTTGTCTAGTTATAGGAAACAAATGTGGTGAATCAACAAAACCACCAGGGGGATCTGCAAGATCATCATCATCATGTATCATAGTAAGAGGAAATGAAAAACGTTGTTGTTCTCTACCCGTATCAACTCTATACCTTGTCATTGGAAAGAGAGAAGCATTAGAAGGAGTAGTAGGTTTAAGAGAGGACCTTTGCTTTTTTAATTTCATTTTTTCCACAAAGGCCTCCATAATTTCTTTCATACTGGAGTCACTATCTGAACTTTTTGAATCTTCCTCATCACCCAAATCCAATTTAGGAGTCATCTATAGTATCACAAATATCTTTCTTGGGCTCCGTTTTGTTAACCTTATAATTAGATTCTGATGTATTAACTTGACTTTCACAAAGAGAGCCCTTTTCATTATTACTTTCTAATAATTGTAATGCCTGAGTAATAGCGCTACTCAAGGTCCAAATCTTTATAGAAATAACATTTCCAGCCTGATGCTCTTTCTTATGGAGCTCTTTCTGAACCAATTTCCATTCCCCTAAATTAAACTGGACCTTAGTTTGATACTGGAACCAGTGACAATGACATTCTATAATTTTAAATAACTCCTTGAGTCTCTTAGGAGATGTTTTCACACCTATGGAATATAATAATCCTTGTAGTAATTCCACGTATTGTTCCTTTAAGGACTGGGAGTTTCCCATGTTAATTCTGAAAGTCCCCCTAAAGTCTCTTTCAACCTGGGGTGATACCTTTTGATATTTTATTAGTTCTGAAAGTCCCCCTAAAGTTTCTTTCAACCTGGGGCAATACCTTTCGATATTTGTTAGTTCTGAAAGTCCCCCAAAATTTCTTTCAACCTGGGGCGATACCTTTCAATATTAGTTCTGAAAGACCCCTAAAGTTTCTTTCAACCTGGGGCGATACCCTTTCGATATTTTGTTAATCCTGAAAGTCCCCCTTTCGTTTTCTTAACCCGGGGTGGTTACCCTTTCGGTGCTGGATCCTGCCGACTACGCCAAATGTTGCAGTAATTCACTTGCAGGTCAGCATGGGAAAAGAAAGAAGAAGCAGAGCAAGTAAAGCAGCAGCAGAAAAAAAATGTCCTTTATTGTGTACAAGCAATATTTTTATAGTATTCGCAACAAAGAAGGCAGCTTTCCAACATCAATCAATCAGGTCTTTCAGCTAATTAAACATAGCACACAGAAGTTTTACTTTCTAATCAGAAATGACCCGCTTCTCATGGCTAATTTACTCTTGGCCTGGAGTATGTTGAGCTCTTCTCTTTGTTAAGATAATAAAATTTTTCTTAGCGCCCTCCTAGCCCACTTGGCAGAACATCCCATTTGCAGGCAAGTCCTCCCAAGGACAGCAGACACTTCGTTTTCAATCATGTTCGATGTTACCTTACTAAAACTTGAAGGAGCCTCTCGTTTGCGAGCAGGCCCTTCCAAGGACAGCAGACACCTCGTTTTCAAGCATGTCCACTGTTGCCTTTCTATACCTTGAGAGAATATCCCGTTTGCAGGCAAACTCCATCAAGGACAGTAATAGTAATGCAGTCACATCTGATTCTCTACAGAGTGGATTCCAAGGGCACAACCACTGCAGCAGCGTTGGGCCTGGACATTGGGTGGTCATGAAGGCATTTAGGACTGGGCCAGGAGAGGCTTTATCATAGACACCCACCCTCCACAAAGGATGGGGACTAACCAAGGGACCAGAAGTTTGTGAGGTCCGCATCTCTGAGGAGGACAAGTGATGTCACTGCAGGGACACAAGTTCCTCTCTGCTCACTTCGGCCCCCAAGATGCACTGCCCTACACCTGAATCTTAAGGCAGTGGCCTGCATTGTGCCTTACCCTCTGGTCTCATCAGAAGGCAACAGAAGAAGTGTCTATATTTTTGTCAGATTTCATGTAGGACGCCATCGAGGATGTCCAGTGTTCTGGGAAAGTCTCCTACTAACCTCCCTGGGCTTACTTCCCCAGCTGCTCCAGGGGGCTTCATGTGAGCCAAGTTCTCTCCAGAGGCAGTCTAGCCCTAACTGAGTTGTCTGGGCAGGATCCTTCCCATGACTGATCCCAATGCACAAGAGTTTCAATAGTTCCCCCCCCTTTTTTTTTTCTTGAAATAGGTCAGTTATATGAAGGGGCTGAATATTGTCCTCCAAATAAGTGTACATTCTAATCCCTAGTTCTGTAAATATATCTTCCAAAGAGCCATTGAAGTTGGGACTAAGGATCTTGTGGTGTGGAAATGATGCCCACTTGGCTGGTGGCCCCATGTAATCACAAGGGCCTCATAAGAGGAAGAAGGGCATTGGCACCAGCAGGAAGGGGCACATGGTGACAGAGGCAGAGAGCCAACAGGTGACCCTGGAAGATGTCAGAGCTGTACAGCTGTACAGAGGGCCACCAGAACTGAGAGGACACAGAGACCAAACATCCCCCTACTCCCACAGGGAACCTGCCCTGCACACACCTGGGCTCCAGCCAGACTTACCTCCAGAACCATAAGAAATGGATTGTTGCTTAAAGCCACCAGTTTTTTTCATAGTTTGTTGTGGGAGCCATAAAAAAATGATATACTTATAAAAAATGAAGAAGGATGTTCCCAAATTTTAATTTCTATAACTAGTACTGAGACACAGGCCAAGGCCAGGGGGTCAGCATGGATAGTAAATGATCTACTGTGAAAGATGGGGGCTAACTGGCTACTTATCAAAGAAAAGGAAGTGGATAGCTCACACCTCAGGGAAGCAATCCTCCCACCACAGGAGTTGAGAATGGGTACCCTGGGCTGCTCTTCTCCTGCCCTTAGGCCCTAGGCAAGTAGGGAGAGAGAGGAAGACCTTGTCTCTTTCTTCATCTGTGAGACGGGATGACCATAATACGTACACTGCATTTTGTGAGAATGGAGTCAATGCATCTGGAGTGAGTAGTACAGTGGCTGCAGTGTAGTAAGCCCTCCACATGTGTTATGCCTTCTTATCATCATTGAAATCCAATCCCTTCTCATGGGGAACGCAAGGAATTAATTCTTGCTCATCAATTACCAGGTCCAAGAAGAACCCATACATCCCTTCCCAGATCAACTCTGTCCATCAACAATCCTAGTTCCAACTTGGGCATCTTCTCTCCTATTGAAACTTAGGCCTCCCCTGGGAACCAGAATTCACCCCACACAGCTACAGGTGCAGGAAACAAGGGTGAGCATGTGCCAAAGGGCTCCACAGAGCAGGCTGGAGGTGTGCTGCCCTCACCCATGGAGAATGGCAGAGAGAGCTGTGAGCTGGGCATGGCTTGTGCCCAGGAGGAAAAGAAGAGCTACTCACAGGAGACTCAGGAAGGCCCGACCTGGGCAAGGACATCCTTGGTTTTACAAATGCCCAAGAAAGAAATACCACTGGGACACGATGCTGCAACTTCAGGAGGAGGCTGCACCCTCTGGGAGAGAGAGCTAGAGAACCAAGGTGTCCCGTTGAGCAGAATGCAGGGGCACTTTGTGGTGGGTCAGCACCAGGAGGTTTCTGTAAAGGCTCTGCCTCTCCTGGATCCCCCACCTCCTCACAGGCAACATCTGAGGTGTGCAGTGGCCACCATAGCCTAAACCTGCCTTATGAAGATGAAACACACCTGTCTTGAGTGCTGATGATGCATCTTCATCCATTTTTTCTTTTTTTTTAAATTTTTTTGTGGTACTAGAGATTAAACTTGGGGCTTTGTGCACGAGGTAGGCACTCTACAAACTGAGTTATGTCCCAATCTCCTTCTTAATACCTTCAGAGACCACCTATGCCTGTGTCCATCTTTGGAAGCAGAAGTGTCCAGAGAGCATGACAAAGATTCCACACAAGTGGATCTGAGGTAAGGAGCTTCAGCTATACCCGAGACTCTACAAACTGTGGGAGAGCACCCTGATGCACCCTGAAACATTCATTCAAAAGCATTTCCATTACGCAGGGAAATTGAGGATTGGAGGGAAGGGGATGAGGATTTCAGAAAAGAGGTGTATTCCTAGATGTGTGGCCAAGAACATGCATTGAGACAATGGAGGGACCATAGAGACTCGTAGAGATCTCATCTCAGACTTCCTCTGAAATATGTACTTGGGTGAAGAAAGAGCACCTGAGAGAATGAATAACAATTATTATTTATTTTAACCTCAGATACAAACAAGTAAGCATATACATATGTATGTAAGCATCAGCTCTTTAAATCTCTACTGTTGAGTATGCTGGAGAAGGACCCTCAGAAGACATTCACGTTCCCAGGTTGTGGAATGATGAACTTGCCACCCTCGAGCAATCAAAGCAAGACTTTGAGTAGGAGAAGACTAGTCAGAGTGGATGAGATAATGGGGGCCAGCGGGGGGCTCCCACTGATGGGCTTTACACAGCCAAACTCCAATTCATAATTCAATTCTATCGTACCTAATTTGCAAGCATTTTCAGTTGCACAACCCATAGCAGACACTATTGAAGGAGGATTACCACCAGTCAACCCTGTGGGAGAAAGATTGGCAGTTAGACTCTCTGTCACCCTGTCTCTCCTCTTCACCCATGTCTTCATGTCCATTTCTCTACTTCCTTTGAGAAGGATAAAGTTCATCAGAATGGCACTTGACCCCTAACCTCTGCCTTTGGCATGACAATCATGCACCTCCATCCTGGGACCAAGCGAGTTTTCCTCTGGTTCCACCATCTCTCCAGTGGTGGAAGGATGTTAAAAGTACCCTGCTGTCTAAGATGCAAGACCAGAGCCTCTATGGCCTCCCGAGGAGAGATGTGGTTAATAAAGGCAGGAAAGGAGGTGGAGGTCAGACCTCAAGGGTTTGGCTGAACACATCTGAGATCCATGTCCTCTTCTGAACCTTCACATCCTTTGGGAACCCAGAGGGAAATACTGTAGATAAGGTCCCCTCTGCCCAGGGTTGACACATACTACAGAAACCTGGAGCAGAAAGGCTGCCCCACTGCAGAGAGCCCACCTCTCCTCTGTATCCCAGGTGACACCCATTTCCCTCATTCAGGTCAGCTCAGCTAGACAGAGGGCCCTCCCTGCTAGTCTCAGACCCTCCTCCAAATTACTCAAAAAGAAAAAGAAAATAAAAAACCATGACAAACCTTCATTCTCAACAAACTCTCAGCTCCAACATTATTTAGTTCCTCAAATGCCACTAATTCCAGGGAACCCTTTACATGTTGATCAGAAAAGACTTGACAGTGCCCCATCTAGCTGTCCAGTCCAGAAAGGACACCCCATGGTGACTTCTCCTGCTCTCATCTGAGGGGCTCCTGCACCCTCACCACAAACACAAGCTTTCTCCTACTCAGGAAAACCCGAAAACCTTCACTGGAGTCAGAATGACACCATGCAGAACATCAGTGCTTGGCCCAAGAGTTTGATTTTAGAGGAAATGGTGTTGAGGGTGCAGAGAGGACTGTGGGTGTCCACCCTTCATGTCACTGAGACATGGTCCCTTTCCAGGACAACATGACAGCCCGTGTGTCCCCAGTCCTCTCCTCTGCTCTCCTTGGAACTGCTCAATTGTCTCCTGCCCCATGGCTCCCTGCAATCCTAGGAGGGATACCCAGGCCCTTGGCCCTCTACCACCACTTGCTTGTGGGCATCAGGCACTGTTACAGCAGTTGCAGGTCCCACCCCTGCTGTCGGTGCCTCCATACCTTCCTCCCCAGGTGTAACAGGGTGGTTCTAGGTAACAGGGAAGGTAGGAGAAATGAAGCAGTGTCTCTTCTCATATGAACTGCGAAGAACCTCAGCTCCCCTACCCACTTCTCATCCCAGCTCTGGGGGAAGCCAGCTGGCAGATCATGACCCCCAGGAGACCTAGGAAGAGGCCCAGGAAGAGGAATGGAGGCTGCATGGGCTTGGAAGCACACCTTGGCTCTGAGCAATCTCAGCCCCTGCTGCCAGCTGGACCACAACTCAGGAGACAGCCTGAGCAAGCACCACCTCTATGCTCACCGTGGGATGACACATGTCTTCTTAAGCTGTTAAAATTGGATGTAATTAGATACACAGCAATAGATGGCTGACACTTTGTGCCCTTTAAGAGGATGACCCAAAATGCTTAGGGAAAATCCATACCCTTAATCTCAAGGCATTTCGTCTCTGCCCCTGTGCAGTTGAGGGGCTGCGGGATACAGATCATGCCATTCTCAGAGAAGCAGGCAGGACATACAATGCCATTTTCTTCCTTGGACACTGGAGACACTGAATAAAGAGAGAAAGTTTTCATGGTGAGCAATGGGCAAAAAGAAGAGCTGAGAGAATTCTTATCCCTTAAATTTGTGAATATTCCAAAATCCCTCAAACCATTCACAGCTAGATTGGCATAGGAGGGATTAGGGACAGGATTCATGGATCAGGTAGGAAATAGTAATCAGAGAGATTTTGTAGGGATTTAATGTTATCTTCCCCTTTCATCAAGGACTTTCTCTCCCTGGATGGAGAATAATCCCAGATAATGGGGCAGAAGGTAACCTGAGGCCTGAAATCATGCTGCTAACAGAGTGATGGACAGGCAGGTGTGGCCTGGGACCCACAGTCCTAGCCATCCCCACCCTAGAGGCTGAGCCTGCAGGATTGCTCAAGCCCGGGAGTTGGAGGCCAGCATGAGAATATAGTGTGAGTCCATCTCAGCAAAGCAGAACAAGAGAGGTGAGGAGTGGGATAGGTGAGGAGAGTCTCTCTGCTGGGATGGTGACCCAAAGCACATGGCTTTACAGACCCACACGTAGAGAAAATGCCCAGGCCTGTCCCACCACTCAGGTACCCGTCTCCTATGCAGAAGAGACTTAGGTCCAACCTGACCCTTCAGGAGAAAGGAGAGACCCTCAGCAAGAAAAAGCTCTGGGCTTCTCAGAAGCAGAGATAGGTCATGGGAATGTACTTCTGAGACAGAGTGAAAGTCCATGTGCCCAGGAGCAGGTGGGCAAGAGAAGGACGCAGGGGGAAAAGCAGGCACTCACGTTCTGAGTTCCCTTGGTTGCAGTTTTCATGGTAGCAGCACTTCATATCGTACCCAAGTATCTGTCCCCTCCCCAGGGTGGCAGAGAAGGCCAGGGGAGTGCACGCCTTTTGAGAGCAGCCTTTAGTCTGCATAAGTTTTGGTGAACCGTCTGTACAGAACCAGAACCAAACAGAATGTTCCTTCTGAGCCCTAGAGAGTGGGGTGCCCAGACGGGCATCCAGTATCAAGGAATTCTGCAAGGGCACCCCTGTGTCCTTAGTGTTTCTACTTTCCCAAGAGTCCTCCCCAATGGTCCCCTTCATAGAACCAACCCAAGGAGGAACCATTTGATGGTGCTGCTCGAGTGCTTGCCTGGTAGGTGTGGGACCCTGGGTTTGAGACCCAGCATCACAAAAATAATTGGAGCAGGGGTGTCCTTTCTCACTGATTCCCCCACCCCTGAGACTGATGTGGGGACTGGAGTCACTCAGTACTTCCCCCTGAGAGCCTTCATTTGGCACAGTGCACACTCCTGCCACCTCCCCTGCCCACAACCAGCCTCATCCTGGCAGGACCTTAGGTGAGGGAGCCAGGGTAGAGTGGAGGAATGGAGGGGAGGAAGGAGCTATACCGAGTCCTGAGCAGAGCAGCCCCTCCCTCCCAGGTCCTGTGTACAGCAGCAAGGGCGGGTGGCAGGCAGGGCTCACCTGGTGAAGTATACAGTTGCTGGAAATGGAAGCAGCTTTGAGAGGTCTCACAGGTACCCTGGTCATGCTCACATTTTTTCCCAATGCATTTCATACACGTGTAACTCTCTACAAGAGGGAAATAACACCAAGGGACGCTGATCCAGTTATGTTGTGTACACTGGCAAGTCTGCCACAGTGAATTCCTCTTTATGCATGACTACATTGGAGAAATTTAAAGATAGGTTAATGGGAGGAAGAACAAAGTGTAGGGGAAAGAAGGAAGAGGGGAGGGAATGGAGCACTGAACACTGAATCAGCAAAAACTCTGTACATGCAAGAAATGAGCCTCAAATTTATACAAAACTGCAGGGCATCAGCAGCAACATTTGAAAAGCCATTCAGGAGGGAAAAGTGGCAAGGGTGGGAGTTGCTCTTTCTAGTAGACAGACACTCCTAGGGATGGAGGGGACAGGACATCCCTCTCCCTGTGGGCAAGGTGGGTCCTGCAGGCTCCCTCCCTGAGGGCTTATTGCCCACCTTCCCACCCTTGGGAGAGGGTTGCTTGCTGGTCCTTACCCACGGTGCTGAAAACCAGGGCCACGAAGATGCAGAGAGTGGAGAGACTCCTCGGGGTGGAGGCCTGGACACTGGTCACCATGCTGACTCCAGGACACTGCAGAGGCCAAAGGGAGCAAAAGGGTCAGAGGGACAGTGCTCTGGCCTAGATTCCAGTCCTCCAAACGCCAGACAGCTCCAGGTGTGGCTCCTGTCAGGGATGTAGAAAGGAAAGTGGCTATTTCCATCACCAAGGCACCCAGGGAAGACAGTCGCCCTTCCTCAGAAGGACTCTCCTGCAGTGGGTGGAAGGTGCTAGGGCTCCCTCCAAAGCTGAAGTGGGTGACGGGGCCAAGAGGGGGAACCCCCCATCCAGGGAGCAGATGGGATCTCTCCTGGGCTAGGAAGTCCAGGCTGTGTTTCCCCATAGCCCTCAGCTGAGGACATGGATTTCTCAGACCCAAAGTCACCCTTTAAAAGAGTAGAGCCCCAGTGCTGTTCCAACATGGCGGCAGGAGCGGAGAGGTCAAGTCTCTGACCTCTTCAGCTACGCGGGCAAAGGGAGTCTTAAACCGTCTAAATGCTGTTTGCTCAGGATCACTAGGCAATGCTGAGCTGACGTGGATCTGGGGCGAACAGTCTGCACCCGGCAGAACACACACAAAGCCAGAGCGGCTGAATTCAGGCTCCCGTTCTCCTGCGTCTCGCAGACAAACCGCTGTGACTCAGGGTTAAACGCTCCTGGTGAAACAACTTTTCGGCTCCTCCGGGAAGCTGCGGAGGTTAATACCAACCGAGCCTTCATAAGCAGTGGCCATAGGATTGAGACAGGGATTGGGAGAGCCGGTCAGGACCCACCTGTTGCATCGGACACTGGCAAAGGGAACGAACTGTCGCCATTCACATGGGATTTCACCATGGCAGAGAACTGACGTCACCAGAATGCGATGAAGGAGATAACTTCATTGGAACCTGCGGCGGGAGTTGTGTAACCCCCTAGTCCCTCCTCTCCACACAGCAGGGAAACCTCAAGGGCCCCTCCCAGCTCTCCCTTGAGCTCCATAATCAGACCAAGGGAATCAGGAGCGGCGCGCGGGACCTGAGGCATGGAACCCCGGCTACCGCTTCCACCAGGGCTGACACCTGAGGTCTCTTGCACCAGCTACCTGGGGCTTGGCTACCGGAGGGCAGTCAAAATACACTTAGGGTTCTCAGCCACAGGCTCCACAACCTTAGGGTCTGAGGGAATGGTAAGCAGGGAGAGTGTGCCCAGTGGTTCAAGAAAAGAGGGCTCCCGGGAGCAGCAGACCTGGCGTGTAGCCAGTATTGTGATGAGCATCACCAATGGGAGAGGCCTGACTGGAGGAAAAGTGGGGAAGTGACTAGACACAAGAAAAGGCCCTAGACACTCAGGATTGGAGACCCGCCCAGTCGGGGAAGAGGAGCTGCTTCACCGTGATTGGTTCCTGCTTATGGAGAGAAGCTTGGCCCAGTGGCACAGCTCCACCTACTGGAAAAGAAGTTAATCGAACTCTAAGACTGCATTTAAAATTTTTTTTTATTATTATTATTTGGTTTATTTATTTATTTATTTATTTATTTATTTTTTATATTTATTTATTTTTTTAATTATTTTTTTAAATTTTTTTCTTTTTATTTTCTATTTTTTTCTTTTGTCTTTTCATTTCTTTTCAATTTCCTTATTACCCTTTCCTTGAATTCTACCTGTTTACTCTGATTCTCTTTAGTGACTTCTTCCCTTTCCTTCTAATACCTTTCCTCCCAAACATCATGACACTGTTTATGTGCAATTTACCTATAAATATGTATAGGTAAATGTTCCGAGGTGTTATATAGTGCTACCAAGTCCCTAGCTACCCCCAAATACTTCAGACCATTCTCCTGTTAATATACCTTCTCAATAGAGCAACCTTCCAAGGTTGCCAAGAGATAGCAACCTCAATACCCATCACATCATTCGACCTAAATATAAGTCCCAAGACCAAACCGCAGACCGCTATATGACATCAGAATCTGTAGACAGTTTAGGAAACGAACGAATCTCCATTAAAGTGCAACAAAACTCATCATCTCTAGTCATAGTCTCCCATCACAAAAGAGAGACCCCAGAGACACACAAAACCAAATAAATTTATAGGAGTAAACAGTAACTCAGCAGTCAAACAGAACAAGAAGTAACATGAGCAGGATGAAAAAGCAAGGAAGAAAAGGAGTACAAACAATGCAGGACAGCCTAAATATACAGGAGGACCTAGAGGCATCAGAAAAACGGTCCAATAAAGAACTCAAGGAATACCTTAGACAGATGGAATGGAAACTTAAAGAGGACATAAGACAGCAAATTCAAACAATGAAAGAACACATTGAAAATGAATTACATAAACAGATAAAAGAAGCAAAAAGCATATTTATCAGGAGATAGAGATTATAAAAAATCAAACAATAATCCTAGAAACGAAGGAAACTATAAACTAAATTAAAAACTCAAATGAGAGTATCACTAACAGAGTGGAGCAAGTAGAAGCCAGAACGACAGATAATGAAGACAATATATCATCTTGAAAAGAGTCTAGCCAACTCAGAAAGGCTGGTAAAATATACCGAGAAAAACATCCAAGAGATATGGGATAACATAAAAAATCAAACTTAAGAGTCATTGGGATAGAGGAAGGCATAGAGGTTCAAACCAAGGGAATGAGCCATCTGTGGAATAAAATAATTATAGAAAATTTTCCAGATATAAAAAAGGAAATGGATGTACAAATTTTAGATGCATACATGACACCAAGCATACAAAATCACAGTAGCCCACTGCCAAGACACATTGTTATGAAGATATCCAATATACAGAACAAAGAGAAAATATTAAAAGCTACAAGAGAAAGAGGCAGATTACATTCAGGAGTAAACCAATAAGGTTGACAGCGGATTTTTCATCACAGATGCTGAAAGCAAGAAGATCCTGAAACAACATATTTGAAACACTGAAAGACAATAGAT